ATGTGGAGAAGTTTGAACTGTCTGACAAAGAATTCAGAACAATCCTCTTGAAGAAATTCAGCAGACTACAAGAACACAGAGACAACTAACAATATTAGGAAAACAATGCACAAAATAAAAAGTTCAAGAAAGAAATAGAAACCATCAAACAAAACACAACCAAGAAACCCAAACAAATGGAGATCCTCAAGCTAAAGAATAAAATGACTGCACTGAAGAATTCAATAGAGAGCTTCAACAAGACTCAGCCAAACAGAGTAAACCATCAACCATAAGATAAATCATTTGAAATTATCTAGTCAGAGGAACAAAAAGAAAAAAAGAATGAAAGGGTGAAGAAAGCCCATGGAAATTGGGGACTTCACAAAAGAAAAAATATACTCGTTACGGGAATCCCAAAAGATGAAAGGAAAAAAAGGGAAAGTCTACTTAAAGCAATAATGGCCAAAAACATCCCCAAAATGGGGAGAGAAATAGGCTTGCAGATTCACGAGGCCCAATGAATCCTAATAGGTTGAACCCAAAAAGGGCTACACCAAGACACATTACAGTTAAATTGTCAGACGTCAAAGACAAAGAATTTTAAAAGCAGCAAGAAAGAAGAAACAAGCTACCTAACAAGGGAACCCACATAAGATGATCAATGGATTTCTCAACAGAAACTGCAGGCCAGGATAGAGTGGAAGGACATATGCAAAATTTTGAAAGAAAAAAATTGTCAATCAGGAATACTATACCTGACAAAGTTGTTCCTCAAGTAAGCAGAGATAAATCTTTTCCAAACCAAAAAAAACTAAGGAAATTTATCACCACTAAACCTGCCTTACAAGATATGCTAAAGGACATTTTTAAAGCTGAAATAAGGATGCTAATTAACACTATAAAAATGTATGAAAATGTAAAAATCACTAATAATGGTAAGTATATGGTCAAAATTAGATTCTCTAATATTGTAATAGTGATACATAATTACAACTAATCAACAAATTCAGTAAAGTTGTAGGATAAAAAATGAAATACAAATATGCATTGTGTTTCTTTACACTAACAACAAACTACCTGAAAAAGAAATAAAAAAAACAATTCCACTTACAGTTGCATCAGAAACAATAAAATACTTGGGAATAAATTCAACCAAGTGAGGAGAAATATCTCTACATTAAAAACTATAACACACTCATGAAAGAAATTGAAAAGGACACACATAAATGGGAAAACATCCTCTGTTCATAGATTGGGAGAATTAATATTGTTAAAGTGTCTCTACTACTGAAACCAATCTTCAGATTCAATGCACTCCCTATCAAAATTCCAATGGCATTTTCCACAGAAATAGAAAAAAAAGTTCTAAAATTAGTGTGGAACCACAAAAGATCCCAAATAGCCAAAGAAATCCTGAGAAAGAACAAAGCTGGAGGTGTCACACTTCCTGAGCTCAAACTCTATTACAAACCTATAGTAATCAAAACAGTATGGCACTGGCATAAAAAGAGACATGTAGACAAATGGGGAAGAATCAAGACCCCAGAACAAAATCCGTGCATATATTCAACTAACGTTCAACAAAGAAGTCAATAATACTCCATAAAAAAGATGGTCTTTTCAATGAATGGTGCTGGGAAAATTGGATATTCACATGCAAAAGAATGAAACTGGACCTATATCTTACAACACTCACAAAAATTAACTCAAAATGGATTAAAGACTTAAAATATCTGAAGATATTTTAGAAGAAAGCATAGGGGAAAAACTCCTTGAAATTGGTCTTGGCAATGATTTTTTGGATCTGACACCAAAAGTATTAGCAACAAAAGTAAAAAGAAACAAGTAGGACTACATCAAACTAAACATGTATTCATATCAAAAGAAATAACAAAATGGAAAGGAAACCTGCAGAATGGGAGAAAATTTTTGTAAAACCACATACCTAAGGGATTAATATCCAAAATATATAAGGAAATCATACAACCTAATTGCAAATAATAATAACAATCTGATTTTTAAATGGAAAAAGGATCTGAATAAACATTTTTCCAAATAAGATATTCAAATAACTAACAGGTACATGAAAATGTGCTGATTATCACTAACCATCAGGGAAATGCAAATCAAAACCACAGTGAGCTATTACCTTATACCTCTTAGAACGGCTATTATCAAAAAGACAAGAGAGAACAAATGCTGGCAAGGCTGTGGAGAAAAGGAACTTTGTACACTGTTCACGGGAATTTAAATCAGTCCAACCATTATGGAAAGTCCTATGGAGGTTTCTCAAAAAATAAAAGTAGAACTACCACATTATCCAGCAATTCTACTTCTGAATATGTGCCCAATGGAACTTAAATCACTAGCAAAGAAATAACTCCACCTCATGTTGATAGCAGCATTATGTACAATAGCCAAGATAAGGAAAAAAATCTAAGTGTCCATCAGCAGATGAATGGATAGAGCAGCTTTGGTATATATATTTTGATGGAATATTATTACCCATAAAAAAGAAGGAAATTCTGCTATTTGCAACAACCTAGAAAAACCTTGAGGGCATTATGCTAGTGAAATAAATCAGAGAGAAATACACTGTATGATCTCACATGTGGATTCTAAAAAAAAATCAAAGTCACAGAAACACAGAGTAGATTGAAGGTTGCCCAGGGCAGGGATAGGTAGGAGTTGGGGGGTTGGGTGAAGGTGGTCAAAGGGTACAAACTTCCGGTTATAATCCTAGGGATGTAATGTACAGCATGGTGACTATAGTTAACGATGCTGTATTATCTATTTGAAAGTTGTGAAGACAATAGATCTTACAATACACACAAAAATTGTAATTATGTGAGGTGATGGAGGTGTTAACTAATTTTACTGTGATGATCATTTTGCAATATATACATATATGAAATCATCACATTATATACCTTAAACTCACACAATGTTATATCAATTATATCTCAAAAAGCTGGGTGGCAGGGAGATGTGGGCTTGAGGAGAATAGAGAAAGCAACTGACCATAGCCTGGCTTCAGAGGCCATTTCAAATTCTTTTTAGCTCTCTCTCTCTATAACCGGGGCTGGGTGCTATATGACACATTCCACCTGTTAAAACTAAGTGATAAGAAGATGAGAAAGATAAACTAGAAGCAAATTCTGGCAATAAATGTTTTAATGCCACGAAATTTGCCAGTAGTAAATAGTAATAATTGGAAGGACAAATGACACAGAAAATTATGTTTATCCTACATTTTGAGAATCTGAGGTTCCAAGGTTGGGACATCGATTTAAGCATTTTGCAATTCTTGTGTTTACACAGTGTCGTTATGAAGACTCTTAAACCCTTTGAGAGTATGATCAACCACACACAAAAAAATGATGGTCTCCACTAACAAAGGGGAAAGAGGCACTGAAACAATCATTTGGATAAAACTTGCCTAAGACCCATTCTGTGGTTTGCCCCTATGATTTTATAGATACCAACCAACACTTCCTTACAAGTGACATCCGATTAGAGAACATTAAGGCAGCTGTTTTACGGGGAAATGAAACAAATGTACGTGAGGAGTGTCTATCATTCATTCATCCAACAATTACTGAACACAGTTATGTACCAAGCATTATGATGTTAGTTAGGTGAATTAAAAAATATTTAAAATTAATGAAACAGCTTCTGCCTTCTAGGAGCTAACAATCTAAAAAGAAAGGTTGACATGAATACTTGTAGATAGTATAGAAGAGCGGAGAGTATGCCAGGAAGGAGGGTAAGAAGAATCTTAAAACACTTGGCTTTGGATATTGAAATGTAATATAGGAGTAAATGGGTTTAGGATGGACTACAGTTTTCCAGAACACTAATCTAGTAGATCTAGAGACAGGAGATGATGCAGGTCATTCCGTGGCTAAACATTACATATTATAGTTCTCCTGCAGAGATTCACTACAAACATCAGCAAATAAGCAGCTCTAAGAAATTCACTACTAAAAACAAAAACACAAAACTATTCAACCTGCATTCCCTGTTTTAATCATGGATCCCTTTTAATAGCATAGCATCTATAAAAAATCTTGGGAACAAATTTGGGGATAACATGTTGCATGACCCTCGATGGCACTAAATAGCCACGAGCAATCGAGAAGATGAACGTAAAGCGGGAGAATGCCTTTGTGTCTGGATTCTTCTGCATTGCTTTCATTAGTTGCATAAAATAGCTACTTGACAGAAGTAAGCAAATGGAGATCTGTCATACAAGATCAAGCAAGAAGAGAAACACAAACCTACAATGACTCCTGAATTCTTATTTTGATCACGAATGTTTATGATCTGAAATGTTTTTAATGCTTCCTAGAGATAAAATTTAAGAGAGGTGTGGATGCTGGGGCAAGACAGGCCATGGGTCTTGGCTCAGTGTCTGTGCAAACATGTAAGTGTCAACTATCGGACCACTCCTAGTGTGATGGAGAAAAGCTATGCTATTTAATTGAAACTCAAGAAATTTTAATAGCCAAGCCTATCTAACTAAAGACTCATTCATACCAATTGGTCCTATTTTTCACATTATGTCAAGGTGCCTGGACTCTATCACAACCACATTTACTGTATCTTAGTTGGTAGAGTTTCATAGTTAACCTCTGTTGACTTCATGGATGCTGATTTGAAATGTTCAGCTACCACAACACTATAATGAGGTCACAGGTAAGTAAAACCTCATGAGCATCAAAGAACCATTATTTAGCCACAAAATTCTAATTTTGACATTGCATTTCAGTTTACTCAATGAGCTAGTGAAAGAAACTATGAATTAGAGAGAAATTTCTTTTCTAAAAGATCCTACAGAAAAAGACCAACTGCTAAAATCAATCAGATTCTTCACTGGTTTTAGGACAAATGATACCAGGTGAATGCTTCCATTGATTTTTCCCTTCCTCTGACCTTTGTCTGGTCCCCTTCAATGATGCTGGAAAATAACTGTTTCTTACAACAAATATAGCCAACTCACAATTTCCTGTGTATACCTTATTTAGAAGATGGATGAATTGCTGCATATCCTATACTCGGCTGGTTTTATTCTCTCACGACATTCATTTGCATCTCCTTGTATGTGCATGAAAAATGCAAAACAATTTAATTAGTCTAAGATGAAACAAAGAAGCTCTCTCAAAATACAACATGTAGATTGAAATGATTATTTTAAGACTCATGCCACAGATCCCTTTCCAGTGGCACGCTGGAGTTGACTAGAATACTTCTTGCAAGGTGGTATCTTTTTGTGGCGGGGTGGGGTGGAAATGGGTGCTGCACTGTCAGAAAACCTGCAAATGCCCAATTTCTACTTCTTTTCAAGTGTGTGACCTCAGATCACTTAACAGCGCATTCTCAAATGAAAGGGTAGGTAATAACTAAAGTTTCTGCTAGTTCTAAACATTCTTATATACCTTCGTTATGTCAAGTACATCATCACTGCAGGAAGTTGTTTAAAAATGCTTAATGGTTAACTTAAGCTATCAATTTCTCTAACTTAATCATTCATATCCCTGTTTGCAAAGCTTCTTTGAAACTGTTAGCACACAACTATTACAGTTCTAACCTCTTATCTTTGCAGATTCTAGACCATGGGGCAAATTACTGCATGACTGCATTCAGTATACTGAATGTATTCTGTACACTTAGTATACTGAATGTAGTCATGCAGCTTTGAGCACATTTTTAATAAATAAAGTTTAATAAATAAAGTTTTAATAAATAAAGTTACGACTTTTAAGATCCATTGTACAAACCTGTGACTGTCATTTAAAGGTGGCTCTTAAAACGCAGTCCAAGAAAACATTCAAGGGAAATCATCTCAGAGGCTGGCTGAAAATGCAGATTCTTAGACGCCAGAATCCATTTTAACACGTACTCTGGCAATTCTTATACAAAGTTTAAAAAGTACTGGCTGAAGGAAAGATTTCAGTATTAACTAGAAATTATTTTTAAAAACTATTTTAAAAACAGGGCACAGCTCTATATATTAATTTGGGATTATTTATTAAATTCACCAAATCTGAGGTCTTAGAAGTCACATAAAATATTGCAGCTTAAGAATTTTCCAGACAAATCTCTCCCTAGCTATAGTAAGCAGCAGGACACTGTAATTAAGTATTCTTTAAAAATACACTCAAATCCTTAAGCTAAATGCATTAAAGATGGAAATAAGCAATTCGTATTTTTATTTCCCGGGATTAGGCCAAGATGACTTTTATGTTTCTGAAGCAATCCACAAAGCCAAGATTGAGGTTGCAGAGGAAGGCACCGAGGCATCAACAGCCGCAGGTATGTTCAGAAAGGGGTCGGCAAGCACTCAGTCACATTGCTTGCCCTTATCTGCCTTAAGTCACATTTATCCAGTTCAATCTTCACATTTCTAAACCTTCCCACTGAAAAACCCCAAGTCCAGATATGGCATAGCATTTTCAAAAAAAAAAAAAAATGTTAATACAGAGCAAGGGTTTGAAAAATGATGGGAGAAGAGAAATCCATTTTGAAAGGATTTGTCCCATCATCCCCATCAATAAGGAATGAAGTCATTCTGAAAATTACCTTTAGTAAGGAATTTATTCCAAGGAGTACTTTGAAAATGGGACACGGGGTTGGCTAAACGTCTTCTTAATTTTCCCATTAATTTCCCTTAATTTTCTGACATCTTCTTAATTTTCCCATTTGTACCCCCAGCATAACACTAAACAATGAAATGTTATCATTAGGATGTTTTTATTTCTTCAAAAATCAAGGGATATAACTGACTTCATATCCAATTTTCATAGTGACTTTCCTCAAATGAATAGAAAATGCAATGGGATTCTTCTATTCTTTCTCTCTCCTGCAGCTCTGTTGTTACTGAAAAGGTCTCGGATTCCTTTTTTTAAAGCAGATCGGCCATTCTTCTTTTTCCTGAGAGAACCCAACACAGGTAGGACAGTATTTTTTGACAGAATTCAGATAAATATATATCACCATCTCTCTAGCAACAAGCGCCCATTTGTCCGCTGTGGCCTAGAACAAGCATTCCTTCTAGCTAGTTTCTATGGTTTCACAATCTTCCCAATTTCTTGTCACGTATCCTGAGAAAGGGGAGTGTTCCATAACTACAAACGAAAATTAATATCCTCCATGTTGTTTTTTACTTCTCTTTCAGCTCATTTTTAGTTGACGTGAGTTTTTTAAAAATTCAGGTTTCTGCTTCTGGGGAGACTTAGAAAGATCAAAGTAAAATAAATGTAGATCTTGATTTTCCCCCCAGTTGTTGCCTCGCTTTCTCATCTCTGTAGGACAAAATAGTTCCTTCAGGGGACTAGCATCTCCAAGTAGCCTTCTGACTCAGCAACCCCAGTATTCTAGTGAATGCACCAGGATTTCTAGTTTTTGTTGATCTTTCTTATGCTTGCTGAAATGCCACAAAAATCAAGTGTTTGCCCTAGTACTTCTAAGTCCCACTATACAATCTTGTCTTAAGCTAAAGATGGTATGGTACCGGCAAAGCCTTAGCACATCAGAAGGACAAGCAGAGGTCCTTTCAGCTTCAACAATGAACAAAGTACTCAAATTATTCCTTGCAATGTTCCCCCTCCCCCGACAATTATTTATCAGCCTGGGAAGGAAAAGAGATTCTCAGTAAAGAGTTGTTGGCAAGTTGAAACAATGTGTTAAAAAGAAATAGGATGGAACAAGACTAACAAAATCAAGCAAAAGTGGATCTACTTTAACTAAACATCAGGCATTACTTTTATTTATGGAGAGAAAAAAAGTCAAAAGTTAGAATGAGAATTACGCATAGGTTTTACACAAATTGTTAAGGAAATACTGTCAACATCATTTTATCTGAGAATCATTTGCATACTGCTGTAACTTGTGCTAGAAATCAAAGGAACACTTTTGTGACAAAAAGGATGAAGATAATCATTCACTAGGAAATAATCTATTTGGGGAGAAAAAGTCCATCAACAGAATATAATCCTCCTAGGATTTCACCATGATCATTCCAACCCCATATATATTAGATGAAATTGTCTCTTATCACTCAGAACAGGCAACAGAGAGCCCTCTCTTAAGAAAGGATACATGTCAAAAAAATGAAAGATGAAAAAAATGACAGGTTCTACTTCCTCAAGAAACAGAGACAGGACTAAACGTGAACAGAAAGATCATTGTCAAAAGCTGATCGCCAATAAAAGTTGATGACAGTTAAAAGAGAACAGTTTCTCTTTTGGAATTCAACTGCATAAAAATGACGTAAAACCTTTGAACTAGTAAAGGACACACCACTATTTCAATGATAGGAGTTTTCACAACTGCCTCAATAAACAATGAAAATAAAAGCCTAATCCAAAACCAATTCCATAATCCGCCGCACATCTACATATAGTCCTTGTGAGTTTATTTACTCTTTCTGGGAGGTATCTGCCCACATGATTCAAGGCAAAGTGACTATTCTGGTGAGAGGGGGGGTATTAAAGAGATAGGAATCAGTTTCAACCTTCAGTACACCAAACTGATAAATCTTACTGATTAGGGCAAATAATGAATCCATTGACAATGGGACACATATGGGAACATTAAGAAGAATGATCTTAATCTCAAGATTAAACTGTTGGAGAATATCCTTTGTCCAGCCTAAAGCCAACTGGTGATCTACAGGGCCTAAGAGGCATGATATTCCCCTGAAATATACTCCCTCCCTCCCCTTTGCTTACAATTCTATAGTATTTTACTAATTTAACTAATATGCCCAGTTTCTTAAACTTTAAAAAACCTTCAAGATGGGATATTAAGCCTGAGTTTCTCGAATGGTTTCAAATCTTGTGACTAGGTTTTGGATGAGGCAGGCTATAGAGTATGATGGCAGAGAGATTAAGGACAGAAAGAGGAGACTGAAGAAACTTTCTCTTCCCAACTCCCTCTAGGGTTCATCCCCAAAAATGTATTAAGGTGAAGGGTTTAGAGGATTATTACTTCATGAGCAATCTCTAAAATGGAAATAAGAACTTCCTGATAAGGAAAGCTGCTAAACATTGGGAAAGACTGAATCCCTTTCCTAAATATTCTCAAGTATGAACTTTTATCTGAATGACTTGTAATCCCTTCTATTAATCACAGAATCAAAATATACATAAAGACAATTTAAGACCAGTGTATTCTGGATTTTGTGTAGCTCTTGAATTTAGCAGTGACTCAGGTAATTACCTTAACAATTCCATCTATTAAATGATATCCTGCTTTAAAGGTATTTGTAGAGGTAAAAAAGGTTTAAAGAATTGCATATGAAAATACTATGTAACGTTACATTAAATGCCTTTTTTTCTTGACAGGATTTGTCTTCAGCATTGGGAGAGTTTCAAATCCCCTAAATTAAGAGATCTCAAGCATATTCTCCACTTTCATCTATGCTTTTCTTCATAAAAAGTTACAATTGCATTCTGCTATACCCTTGAAATTTTAAAAATGTTCTGCTAAAGTGTAAAAAGATAAGGGTATGTGATTTTCAAATATTATGAAACTAAAATTCCATCAATTTTACTATAATTTTATAAATTTATTTTGCCTTCTTTTAATCTAAATGTATTTTAACCTTCCTTTCTATTGGTTACCCCAAAAGCACTACAAGGCACAGCAGTGATCTATGAAAGGTGAATGAGTCTGGTCATAGGGTCACATCCTCAGTGAAGACACATGAGGTCATGTTGGACTGAGAGTGGACAGTGAACAGTGTTGGTTTTTCCTTATCCTGGGTAATTCAGGGGGAATGCACAATGAGCAAAGTCATCTGAAATGTTTGCTTTCTATTTAGCCTCTAAACAAAATGGAGAGTTTATATATAAGAATAGCAGAGGAGAACAAAGAGATCCTCTTTGAACCCCCAATTTGTTGTGGGACTTTTGTAAGCATGGCATCAAGCTGCTAAAGAGTAGACATTTCAGAGTATGTAATGTACCTCAAACTTACAACTCCCTAACTAACAGCTTCAACTTAGTGCCATCCATAATCCTAGTGAGAAAGGAAAAAGGTGTTGGGACTAAAGAAACCAATATTAAAGATGTCTGCTTTTAAACAGCTTTTAAAGTGTCTGCCTATTTGCCCCAGATACCATCACTTCTATTATCTAGGCAGAAATGGGAGTATGTTGGTGTGGCCAACAAAATCTAAGAACACAGAGTAAAAAGACAATGCAGGTTATGTAACAGGTAATTACAGTTAGCTTTAACAAATATGAACTTCAAGTGGTGTATTTTTCCAATGCTTAAAAAGCAAGGCCTTTAAAATTCCATTATCCTTAAGATGGTTTTAAATGATTACTTTAAATGTGATTATTTCCTAAACCACACAAGAGTAAAATAGAGCATTTATTGATGGAATAA